CCCCAGCCCTGCAATGGACCTGCCCATCCCCAGTGCCCGGCTCAGACTCAGCCCCTCATGCCTAGCACTGCTCAGCAGGAGCCCAGCAGAAACGAATTGGTCCTGGCTGCATCTCTTGCACTGGTATCACTGGTGCCATTCTCCATGCATCAGCCAGGACCCACAACCCATCCCAGCCCCACCAGGCCTCCTGGCCCTGGCAGATGGGTATGAGGCAGGGGGGCCAGAACTTCTCAAAAACACATCCCCACCCCAAGAGTCCAGCTGTGGACCAGACACTGGGCACAAAGGCTGGGAGTGTCCTTTCACGCCCAGCATCCAGGAGAGGGCTGCAGCACACAGGCCGTGGGCTGCTGGTACAGCTCTTGATCCATTAATCAGAGCGGGAGCACAGGGCTCACACACAGCTGCTGAGGAGCAATCGCTGGCAGAGATGCCAACCAGCCACAAGTAAATCGAGCTCAGCTCATGTAGCTCAGCAGTTCCTGAGCTGGCCCTTGGTGCCACTGAATAGCCGAGTGCACGGCCGGCTGGGGGACGGAGCCCCAGACTGTCCCACACCTGGCACCAAAGAAGACGTGTAAGAATAGTTTAACAAGAGCAGGTTAAGGGGTGACTTGGTCACAGCCTGTAATTACCTACATGGGGCACAAATAGTTAATAATGGGGTCTTCAGTCTAGCAGAGAAGGTCTAAGAGGATCCAACAGCTGGAAGTTGAAACTAGACAAATTCAGACTGGAAGTAAGGTGTAAATGTTTAACAGTGAGAGTAATTAGCCAGGAGGTGGATGGAGAAGACCACCTGGTCTTGTATGTTAGCTGGAAATTATTCCCACGGGAGAACTATGCGGTGGTAGAGGAGGCCCTTGCGGTAAAGCGGGCTTATGTTGCCTCGCGTTACTACGTCCCCGGAGCCCCATTCACATTGGTCACTGACCACGCCTCGCTCCAGTGGCTGGCCAGAATGAAACATCATAATATGAGGATAATGCGCTGGTACTTGGCACTACAACCCTATGCTTTTACGGTTCGCCATAAGGTGGGGAAGGACCATGCGAATGCAGATTTTCAGTCCTGCCTGGGAGGTATGGAAGGGTCTGGCCCTGACGAGCGGGAGCCAGACGTAAGGGGTGTGAGTGTGTAGCGAGGCAGTGTGGTTCCCCGCCACCCCAGGGAGGGACGAGCCTCTCCAGATACCAAAGTGGGCGGAGCCAGTGAACCCTGTGCCCGCCCCCCAGAGGTCAAGGTGCAGGACAGGAAGTATAAAAGCCCAACCCCAGAGCTCATTAGAGACGTGGCTGGTGCTGGAAGTGCCAGACGCCTGTTGTCACGGAGTGTGGGGGAGTCAGGGCCCTGCACCCCTCTTCCTGAGATTCACCGTCACTCTCAGCCAGCCGGTAAAACAGAAGGTTTATTAGATGACAGGAACACAGTCCCAAGCAGAGCGTGTTGGTACAACCAGAACCCCTCAATCAAGTCCTTCTGGGGGGTTTAGGGAGCTTAGACCCCAGCTTGGGGTTCCCTGCATTGCACCACCCAGCCCAAGACTGACAACAAAACCTCCTCCAGCAGCTCTCTTCCGCCTCCCCCCAGCTCCTCCTCTCCTTTGTTCAGTCTCCCGGCCAGAAGGTGTCACTTCTCCCAACCCCCCTCCTGGCTCATGTTACAGCTCAGGTAGCTTCCTTCAAGGGAAGTCCCCCATCCCCCATGTAACTCCCCTGCAACATTCCCAGGTCAAATCCGTCCCGCTCCCTGCTCCGTCACACCTGTGGCTTAGCTCCCAGTTGGGAGATCCCGGCAATTGGCGGCTGACCCGAGGACGGGCCAGACCAGCCGATGCCTGATGCCGACCCGAGCCCGGAGAAGCAGTCAAGCCTGCCCCTCGCAAATTACCCAGAGGCGCTGTCAAGCGTATTGCTCGCCAGTTGCCCTGAGGAACCGGGGATGCAGGTACCTCGGGGGGGGGGAGTCAGGAAGTACCCCAGGGACAGCTGACCCTCGTCTGGCTGCAGCACTGCCAGAGCCGATCCACTGACACAGCAGCAGGTCCTCTTCCGCTGCTAGGGCCCTGGGCTGGGATGCAGTGGAGCGGGTGGCCCTGCGTCCCCGCTGCCACCCAACGTGGGTGGCCGTCTCCCGCTCTTGAAGGCCCTTGGAACCAGGGCTGGGGCCTATTGCTTAACTGTTTGCTCAACCCTGCCTGAGCCACTGACCCTTTGCTGTCCCGCTCTGACCCAGGGCAAGGGCCTGCTCGTTATACAGCAGCTCTGAGGACCGGAGTGCGGGACTCGCTACCGCCCGCCAACCGGACGTAATCATTTGTTGTGCCTCTATCGCGGGCCATGAGACCCCGTGGCCAGACTAGTTCCCCGACCCAAATGGACGGCCGTAGCGAGGCGGTGTGCTTCCCTGCCGCCCCGGGGAGGGACGAGCCCTGGCCGAACCCTTCTACAACTGTCTACACTACTACTTCTATCAGTATAAGGTATGTCGCACGGAGGTGTGAATAAGCCACTTCCCTGAGCGCAATCATTTACAACGACATAAACACTGGGGTGGACAACCTCTCCTGCCAACGTAGTTCTCACTGCTCATTGGGGGTGTATTAATCAAGCGGACAGGAGAGCTCTCTCCGGTTGGCTTAGAGTGGCTAGAGCTGCACTGCTGTAAACTCTCCAGGGTAGCAACAGCCTAAGGGGTTTCAAGACTGAGCTTGATCAGTTGATGGAGGGGATGGCACGAGACGGCCTGCAATGGCATGTAGCCGATCTGCGACTGCTAGCAGCAAATATCTCCAATGGCCAGAGATGGGACACTAGATGGGGAGAGCTCTGAGTTACTACAGAGAATTTTTTCCCCAGTGTCTGGCTGGTGGGCCTGACCACATGCTCAGGGTCTAACTGATGGGCATATTTGGGGTCGGGAAGGAATTCTCCCCCCGGGTCAAATTGGCAGAGGTTTTTTTGTCTCTCTGCCACACTGGGGCACGGGGTGACTTGCTGGTTTGAACTAGCCAGAGTCAATGGTGGATTCTCTGTCACTTGACTGGAGGACTTTGGTAACTCAGCCAGAGGTCCTGGGTCTATTACAGGAGGAGCGAATGAGGCTCTCTGGCCTGTGATGTGCAGGAAGTCAGACAAGATGATCACAATGGTCCCTTCTGGCCTTAAAGTCCAGGAGTCATCTGACCAGGATAAACGTGGCTCAGTGGGGAGGGCTGGATTCACACCCCAGCACCTGCCCGGTCCCTGTGGGGGGGCGGCACTTTGACAGCCCAGCTCGCTGCACTCAGGGATTTGATGGCACTTTGGAGAATCAATCCTTAATCAGAAAGGTCCACTTAGCCATCACTGGGGGAGCTACGGCCCTTGCTGAGCTCCCTGTCCCTGGGCAAACTGGGCCTGACTCGCCCCAGGCAGGACTTGAATGCACAGCCCTTGGCAGTCGACTTCAGGGCCTCTTGCCTGCTCCCCCAGCCCCCTTGTGGCCAGACTGGGCACCCCCCCAGAAGGAAGCACCAGCACTCCCAAGCGGAGTGAAGCAGCGTTGCTGAGAGTGAGGGCACGGCTCCCCGCAGGGCAGCAGACGCCAGCCACCAGCTCAGGCTGGCCCCTTGGGGGAGGTCAGCCTGGTGGAACAGTGCCAGGGCCTGAGCCCGCAGTACCCACCACTCCCCTCCCCCCACAGCACCCCCTCCTGCCCCCGCCGACACAGCAACTCCAGACGCTCGCAGGTTGCAGGTGGATTTTAGAGACTTGGACACATCAGTTGGTAACAGGCAGCCCCGCTCCCCCTGCCCCTCCCTCTCTGCAGCCCAACGGGGGGAGCTGCCCCCACCCACAGGCCCTGCCTCAGGAGCTGCCCCCACCTCACACAGGTAGCAAGAGGAGAAGGAACCTCTCCCGTCACTTGTCCCCAGCCAGGGCGGCCTGGGGCCAGAGCTTAGGGCCAGTCCCCTCCCCCTAAGTCAGCACAATTAGAGGGTGGGGTTCCCAAGGCCCAGGCCCCCCCCTCTTGTGCTGTGAAGGGCTCAACTCGGCGCCAAGTGCCCAGGCGGGCGACAGCGCTGCAGCCACAGTCTGGGGGCAGTGCCAGGCGTTAGGAGAGTGGGGATAACCCCATGGGAGATCAGCAGCGACCTGCAAATAAACCAGCTACAAGGCACCAAACCCAGCTCACACACCCATGTAACAGGGGCTGCAGGGTGCCCAGGGCAGCACTAATGTGGAAGCAGTGGAGGGGGGCATGGCAGCGGCTCTGGGCTCCTTGGCCTGGCTCAGGCGGGGAGGGCAGAGCCCATGGATAAATATCAGTTTATTGGCTACAGAGCATGGGAAGCGAGGACGAGGAGCACGGGGGCGCCAAGCACAGACGGACAGACAGACGGGCGCTGCCAGCTCACTCCAGCCCAGGCCCTGGGGCGGTTGGCACAGCCCCCTCTGGCAGCACCCTGCTGCTCCCCGGGCCTGGCACAGCCGCTACTGGGAGAAGATGCCCTTAAAGCGGATCTTGTCCTCACTGTCCTTCTGGCGCAGGCGCGTCTCCAGGCTGCGCAGCTCCTTGGCCACCACGGGGCCCAGCGACGGGTCCAGTGCCAGCACCTTGGCGAAGTCGGCCTGGGCCTCGGCCGTATTCCACACGGCGGCATGCGCCTTCCCCCGCTTGAAATAGGCCTTGACGTTGTCTGTGGGGAGAGAGCACGGGGCGGTGCCCCTCAGCCCCGACTCACAACCCCC